ACTGGTAATTAAGAAGAAAGCTTTCCTTCCGTAAAACTACCAGAAGAGGGTTATGGTAACGTGTATTGCTCAGTTGTCCTCAGGTCATTACCACATGCTGTAGATAAGCACTGAGTATAGTTGGCCGCTGAGACATGTTGGGCAGGGAGATGTTTTAAAACATGTATTCTTAAATACTTGGGATTTTTTGCTTACTGGAAAATGTGAAGCTGGCAGACAGCAGATGCCGTCAGCTATGGGGGTAAACATTAAAACTGAGATCTGCTTAGTTACCTCCCTAGCTGATTTCCATTCCTCTGCATGGGTGTGAAGTTGCACTGGTTTTACTACACTGGGTTTTTCAAAAACTTTCACGAATGCATTTGTTGATGCAAATGATTTCTCAGGCTACTGATTACAAGGGCGAGGCCTTTATGTGTGTTTATGCTGAAGATACGAACTCAAGGGAGAAGGTTTAGTCTTCCATCTAACAAAGTCCTCCTGTTGGCATTTTAATATGATTTTGGTGCAGTTCCTTCTGTCCTATAAAGGTGTTTCCTTGATTCATTGATTGACGACGGTTTTGACACATGTACAGATGTCTGGGGTTGTTTGTAGTGCATAGAGTATATGCAGAGTATTTGCTGCTTACTTGAAGCATCCTATGATGTCAAAGCTAGTTAGGAAACAGCCTGCTGTAAAGAAAATCTAAAGTATGGTTGGGAAATGCCAAAATATACGTGGATTATACATAGGTTAAGTAGAAAATTATGCTAAGATTGAGTGAGGATATGTGTCGAATTTCAGCTGTTTGAAGAAAATGAAGGGTTTTCAGAGCACAGAGAGTAAGGAAATACCTGAGGCTCAGACAGCAGCTTTGCAGAGCAGCTTCGGGTTCCCTGTTGTTGATTATCCCTTTGACAAATACGTGTTAACACACTGTCATTTGTCTTATCAAAATATCAGCAGGGAGAGCTGCATCACCACCGGGGAGTTCTGCCGCTGCAGCAATCATCCCCATTTGGACAGCTATTTTACAATCTTTACTGCTTTACCATTTTTATTCATAATCAGCTGTTGACAACAAGCCCATGAACCGATGATGCGAGCGCTTTAGCAGCAGCAGCCGCCCTTCTCTGCCGTGCTGCTTTTCTGGGAGCCCAGGCCTCCCCCTGCCAGGCAGGCAGAAATCTTTGCTGCAGCTGGCCGAGCTGAAGCGTGATGAATTACTGCAGCGATGTGTCGGTGGGGACGGCAGAACTGAGTCACCGCGCGCCCGCGCAGAGTCCCCCGCCTGTTCTCACGCAGAGCACGGGCACCGCTTGCACCGTCTCCTCCTTTTGAGATCAAATTAAACCTTGCACACATACGAGTTATGGGATTTACCAAAAAGGCAGAGCTCTAGCAGTTATACTGTGCTGTCAGTGCTGCCGTTGCGTACGTGAGCAGTGGCTGGATATGGATGCTTCTGTTCCCGTAGGCTTTTGGCACAGAAGCTATTCGATCTGCTGAACATGTTGATGGTAGAGCCTATGCTGTGTATTAGGTGTGAGGCTTGGATGCTGCTTAAAAGCCCCTTCAAAGCCACAAGTCAGCAGAGAACTGGGTTGCTAGGATTTAATCTTAGAGCAGTACAGTGGAAGGAAGGGAACCTTCCCTGTCAGGCTGCGTTTTTCGTCTCCGAAGTAATGAAATCTGGCACACAGGCTTTTGCACCTTCTCACATCTACTTCGCCCCTTGACACCAGGAGCGGGGAGCCTGTTCTGCAGTCTGCCAAAATTAATGCAACAAACTTCACGCCATGCCCTAGGTAAAGGTGTGAGTCATACCTGCTGCTACCCGAGTCGCAGGAAGAATCTCACTCAGGCTGAATTAAAAAAAAAATTAAATGGAAATACTCTCTTCTCTCCTCTCCTGATCCCCCACCGAGGCATATCCAGCACACAGCCCATGTTCCCGAGAACAATCTGTTCTCGCAGCTCCCAAACACAAGAGGAGCACCCGGGTCTGGGCTACTGCCAGGACTAATAGGGCGCCTGGAACGTGTGATCCCCATGGGAAAACAGCTCTCCGTGGGGTTACAAGGCAACTGGCTGCCTCCCTCCTTGTCTCTCCCACACACCTGGTTGTTTTTGCAGTTTTCACAAAGCGTATTTGTGTTCGAATGTCTCTGCACATGAAGGCTTACTGTTATTCTGCCTTACTTTTCATTCTCCCATGCAAGCTTTTACTAACCTAGGATAAGGAAGCCACAAGATGGTTGCTGTTACGGTTACAAGCCCATGCATCTTGAAAGGAGACAGACATTCTTGGGTTTTTTTGTCTTTTTTTTTAGTGGACCTCAGATTAAAATTCAACATCTAAAATTTGAGTCTGAAGCAAACACAGTAAGAACCAAAAATGGAAAAGTTTGTTTTTAAAGATTCATTCAAGGCTCCTATGAGGAGAATGCAGGAATTGTTAAAGTTCTCAGATCCTTCCATTATACCGTAGTCAAAAATGAGATAGAGGAGCTTTTTGTGCTCATCTCCACTGCAGATTAGGCTTGTGGTACAATGCTGAGGTTTCTGGAGGGAGCTGACAGTGAAATTATGCCTCTCATGAGTAGAATCTCATAGAATCATAGAATGGTTTGGGTTGGAAAGGATCTTCAAGATCATCTAGCTTCAAATCCCCAGCCATGGGCAGGGACACCTTCCACTAGATCAGGTTGCTCAAAGCCTCATCCAACCTGCCCTAACCTGGCCTTGAACACTTCCAGGGATGGAGCATCCACAATTTGGATGGGAAACCTGTTCCGATATTTCACCACCCTCATTGTAAAAAATTTCTTCTTTATCTCTAATCAAAATCTGCCCTCTTTCAGCCTAAAGCCATTGTCCCTTGTCCTATCACTACATGCCCTTGTAAAAAGTCCCTCCCCAGCTTTCCTGTAGGCCCCCTTTAAGTACTGGAAGGCTGCGATAAGATCACCCTGGAGCCTTCTCTTCTCCAGGCTGAACAGCCCCAACTCTCTCAGCCTGTCTTCATGGCAGAGGTGCTCCAGCCCTCGGATGATCTTTGTGACCCTCCTTTGGACCCATTCCAACGGCTTCATGTCCTTCTTATGTTGGGGGCCCCAGAGCTGAATGCAGTACTCCAGGTGGAGTTTCACGGGAGACTCCACCTCAGGGAAAGTTTTAGTTGTTTAAGCTTGTTTTGCGTAATTTTCAGTACAATTTCCTTCTACGCCTCAGCCTTCATAGGGAATAGGGGCTTTTGGGTGTTGCGTTTGATTTTTATTTTTTTTTTTCTGAGAAAAAGGATTCTGTGAAGGGCCAAACTGGTAATCAAGAGCTTCTGAATGAAGCATGTGATGAAACATTCCTCAAGATTCACGTGCTGCATGTGCATGATGTTACACCCGTTTGACTAAACCATGTCTTAAAGTGTTTTTTTTTCCAGTGTTTGAAATTCCTATGAAGAGGCACTGAAAACAGTTTACAGCTCAGTTGCATCTCTGATTTATATCAGAAAGGAAGTATGAGGTTACTCTTGGGCACCCCTATGTTTTATTCAGTAGGCACTGTCTTGCCTGTTGTTACGTTGAGGTTTGAGTGTAGATGAATTATCAGCTGTGCTGGAACAGCTTAAATTCTTTTTTGTTGTCATTCGGTGACCTTCAGTTCCACAGGCTCAGGCAGTGCCCTGCATCATCTGGAACTCACCTTAGGCTGCAGATCTTGTGACACAGATGGCCTTGTTCCTCTACTGACTGCGTGAGCGCGGAAATAAGACGCTTCAATTTTTCATACATTAATTTGCAGGAATATAGTAGTTCCTAGGCCTTAACAGCACAGAATGAAATAATTAACTCTGCACTTAACTACAATCCCTAAAACTTTTTACAATATTACATTACGTAACAGCTGTGACTGAAGTTTGCTTGTTGGTTTGTTTTTTTTTTTTAAATGAAGGTTAAAGATGGAGGGCAGTAAGCAACCTTCTCTCCTCTGCTCATGTTGCTCTTGGTGCAAGACTGTCTAGTTATTCTGGACTCCCAAGTCAGTGCTCTAGGCTGTCTTCTGGAACAGATGTGAGGCTGTTTCTGATGCTAGGATATGCTTTAAAGATGCCTCAACTATGCCGGTAATAACAGCTCCGGGGGATGGTTTGTCACTTGACAAGCAGTTACTGGAAGCTGCAGAGCTTTCTGACCTTAAGACTCTTCTATGATGGTCTGAGGGATGGTTCAGGATCTAAAACAATGCTTATACAGGTGTATCTTACCTGAACATCTGTCTTATTTGCAGCTACACAAGCAAGTGGAACACAGTTGGCACAAAATGAGACTTTGGAGGCTTCTTCTACTAAGGGATGGTGGTCTTCTTCTACAGTCTCTCTACAAAAAAACACTTCTGTTCCTGGAACCTCAGGTAAATCTTGAAAATATACACTCTATTTTCCTATACGAACAATTAAAAAGATAAAAATAATTTCAGATCTCTTCTTGGTTTGTTGTGCATTATCCTAGAATGAGGGTCACCTCCTTATTCATGCAGGGTACGCTGTGTCCATGTCATCTAGCTATTAAGTTGTGAGGAGTGATTGGTGAACTTCAAAACGTTCAGTTGGGATATGCAATGTCATTACAGGAGGATATAAATTACAGAAGATAATAGCAATCTTTACATATGCTCTATGTGGTCATTGTGTAGCATTGACTGCCAGAGGAGGTCATCAAGATAAATTCTCTGGCTGCAAAGCAAAGGAGACAAAGGAGAAAACAGCTATAATTTTTACAATTGTTAATAAATCTGGAGGGCAAGTTAATGCATATTACCAATTAAATGACATTGTTCAAAGTACAACATGGTTATATGCAAGGTCAGAAAGCTATTAATCCCTCCCAACTCCGGTCTAGTTTTATTGTTTTTCTGGGTGTGTTTTGGTGTATTTATCCACTAAGTAACACTGTGGTGAACGTAGATGTCACATCATGTGAGTGTTCGTTTATTATGCTTCTAGCTGGCTTAACTTTCCTAGGTTTCGAAGAACCACTTATTCTGGTTTTCTTAAGGTCTGTTGAGCCTCCACTTCATTCAGTACTTACTTACAGCTACATGTTCAGTACATCCAATAAGGACACTGACTTGTTTGCATATCCCAATTATTATTAATGTTTAACATCCCCTAAGGGATACGAAACTCTTTTTACAACCTCTGGATTGTGTTTATAGGAGATAAGCATGCGCGTGTACTGTGATTTTTTCCCTCACAGAAGATGGAATTGGATATAAAAGTGGAGGAATATCATATGCTCAGTATGCACTGAAATGCTTAGAAGTGTGCAAAAAGATAGTATAATAATAAGCATTTTAAGGAAGTTGAGATTTTCTCATTTTTAATCCAAGGCCACCAATTTAGAGAGGTTTCTTTGCAATTATTTCAATAAGCCTGTGCCCCATAATGCATATATTGTGAGTTGTAGTTACTTGATTATCCTATTGGGTTTCGTGTCTTTTGGCAGACGTGCACGGTATGGAAACCTTACCGTTGGTACACTGCAATAAAGCACTAAATTACAGTGTTTTTAATTAAAGGTTCTCTCACACAGGTAAATTCTCCAGGTTAAAATGAAATGGAACATATCTGTTCGATGAACGTATCTGGCTCACATGTATTGAATTACCTATGACATTGTTTGTACAATTACATTTTACGTTTAAAATTTGCCCAGAAAGTTTTACAACCTTCCTTTGGGTCTGTTTGTGAAAGTCATCATCTTACTCAGCTCACTTTGCTGTAAAACCAATAAATCTTCTCGAGCTCAGGGGCTACCCAAGATGCCAGGACTGTAATTGCCTGGCTGAGGAAGAAAGGGCCCATCTATCCAGGGGAAGTCAGTCTAGGCACTTGGTATAGCCAGTACTCTGTGTTCCCATAAAACTGCCATTTCAGAATCACTTCTGTGGCTGGATTTCCACACTTACAGCTTTCCTGTCTGCTCACAGCACCAGCTCCTCACTTCTTTCTCGCAGCTTAAATATGCAAGAAATCCCATTACTTACCCCGATGAGTTAGGTAGCTTACCCCAAATGGTGCACCTTTAGACCACCTTTGCTCCCTTATTCTCTGTATATGTTAAAGACTTTCAGAAAAAAAGGTTTTTGTTCCCTCTAAACAGATTTCTTCTCCTATATGCAATCGCTCAGGGCCAAGGGAAGTCATATGCTGCACCTTAATAACTTTTAATGCAAGACAAGTGTGAAGCCAGTTGTTTCATTCTATGCTGAGACTAGAAGAAATGCTGGCTCTCTCACTGCCATTAGATTATTTCTTCCCAGATCTTTGAAATTTCACATTCAGGGGCTTACATAGGGGCTGGGTACCTTTTGTTCACCAGAGCAGAGGCTGACATGTGCCATGGGGCTGGTGCTGCAGCCCATAGGGAATAGCACAGCTTGCAAGCCAAAGGCACCCAAGCCACAGCTTCTGCGTGGGAGCTCAGGGGAAGACAAATTAATGTGAAACCGACCCAAACCAGAACGTTCATATTTGGTATGCTCAACCAAAATAATTCAGCTGGCTAACCTCAGTGCAAAAGAATATATTTAGTTTTGAGACCATTTTCCATTTTTTAAAAAAATGTCATTTTGGTGAAAATCTCCTTTCTTGCTGCAGAAAAAGAAAAAAAAAAAAGCACACTTTGAAGAGAAATTTCCAGTCAGCCATATCAAAAGATCAGGGTGTGGGAGGAGTGCCACAGAGAGCTGGAGAGCAACTGAAATGAGTGGGGGAGCCTAGGAAAGAACTTGGAGAAACATCAGAAAACGGTATTGCTGTATTAAAGAGGATTGAAACCACCAGCCGTGGAGGAGGGGCTGCACAGTGCTCACCCGGGCTAGAGAAGGCAACAGGGACTGTTTTTAGCAAAGAGAGCAGCCTGCATGCATGCCATTGACACATACACTTTTTCAGCTTTAACTTTGGCTGTCATGAATAGTGTACCTCCTACTCATTCTCCACCTCCACAGAGGATTGCTTGCTAATATTTCATTTTCTCCTTTTGTTTAAGTAGTGAAAAATTGGAGATTTAATGGATCAGTTGGAGTCTAAATACACCTCAGAAACTGCAAGTGTTGTAGCTTTTTATTCTGTGACCTAAACAACAAAAAACACATAAAGCGGTATGAGCTTAAGTTCACCCAGCAGAGTGATAAGATCAAATGATCTATTATAATAAACTGTCAGATGAATCAACCTGCTGCATCTATTGATATCTTTATTGCACTCCTCCAATTATGTATCCTACACACTTGATTCACAGGAGGCATCTCCCTAAGAAATATTCTTATGAGTAAGGCAAGGAGGGTTTGACTCTTTCTGTACACAAACTGCGTAGGAACTCTGGATAGTGATATTAGGTAAAAATTACCAACCCTATCTTCAGATTCTTCACAAAAAGAGAGACACAAAAATCGAAGTGCCTGGGAGATGGAAAATAGAGCAAAGCCTCAATTAACACAATTACAGATCTATGGCATGGTCAGGGCAAGGAGGGTTTTTTAAAGTTCTTAGTTTTGCTTTGATTTATATTATGGTATCCCCTCTGAGTAAGCAGCCAAATTTATTCATCTGTTTTGCCAGTGAACACAGTTTCATGTGGCTGCCCTCCAAAAACAGAAGCAGCAAACTGCAGGGTATCCAGGCTGCTTAGGTAGCGGTTGTTGGAGAACAGAGTGGGGAGAGGTTAGTTACTGGTCTCTTTCTCCATCTGTCAAGCTTCTAACCAGGGCTGAACTGACTCAGGCAGGTATTTTCAAATCAAACCACTATCGTTTGCCAAATTTTTTATCCTCGTCCTCCTTATTGCACAACGAGGACTCAGCACAGCCAGTGTTGCACACCTCGCTTTTCGTGATGAGTCTGGAAATCTTCCCAGATTATTTATGCAGAGCATCTGCCCCGTAACTCGCAGCACCAAAGGATGTGGTAAGCTCTGAAGAGGCAGCTAGAACAACTATGGAAACTATGCTAGTGAGCAAAATGCTGCCTTTCCTTCTGCTCTTCTCTTTCTGTAGAACAGCAGCGTGTGACCCCACCATGAAAAAGGGCACTGGATGGTTATTTAGAAAATGCAAACT